CAGCGGCACGCGGCACCAGAGTGTGCAGACCGTGCAGACCGAGGATGGCTTGGGTGGGGCAGCTAGGGCGGTCGCCAAGGCCGCACTGAGCCCGGTACAAGAACATGAGACAGGCCGGCGCAGCAGCTCCGGTGAGGTGGGCACGACCCTAGTGCCCATTGTGGTAGAGCCCGAGCGGCCTGGGGCCAAGGTCGAGGTGCCCTGGTCTCTGGGCTCGGACTGTCAGGGGTTGCCAGGATCCGTACCCCTGGTGCCTCCCGCACCAGAGATCCTCCGAGGCCCCGAACGCCGGGGGCTGGAGATGGTGGAGGAGCGGACCACGCAGAGCGGGCCTCGCTCCAAGCCCACCTCCCCCAAGCTCTCCCCAGAGGCCCAGACCCCTTCTGTAGCCCCTACGAAAAATGCAACAAGTAGCACAGGGCCCCCAGCCCCACCCACTCCCCTGCTCCAGGCCACCAAGCCTGAGGTGGGGCTGACTTCCAGGTACCCCGCTGAAGCTGTGCCTCCATCAGGCCTGACCAAAAGGGCCCCCTGCCCCATGCCCCCTGGCCCATAGCTGAGGGGGCCGCTGGCCCTGCACTGTACAGCCGCCTGTATACATATGTACACATATAAATAAAGTGTGTCTGTGCGTCGTGAGCTTTCTGAGGCTTGCCCCACCTCCCTGGCGAGGCAAGGTTTTAGCCCTCCTGCCTGTGTTCTTGTTAAGGGGAGGAACGCCAGTCCTGGTTACTATAGAGAGGGGAGGGGAGTCTTATGTGGATCTTTCCTTGTGGTCTCACCTATGAGCCAGCTGCCCCCGGACCCCAGGAAGCTGCAACGCTGTTCTGAGTCCCAGCGCCCACCTGAAGAAAAAGTTAACAGCCCCATCTACCACTTTCCTTTTATTCCTCATACATTTTGAGTCAAGTGTTATGGTTCCCATTTTGCAGATGAGTAGACTGAGTCACAGGTTAAGGCACACAGTTAAGGTCACACAATAAGGGACTGAACTGGGATTTAAACTGAAGTCCAAACGGGCTCCTATATGCTCTGCTGGGCTTTCTGCAGATGAGGTGCTGCTCTGCTCTTACAACGTTCCCAGGCCTTCACCAGAGGCTGGAAGGCTTTCCAGAAGGCCGGCAGCTTGGTACACATTGTGCCCCCACCTCGGTGCTCCTCTGCACAGTTCCGATTCATGTCACCCACACAGGCCCAGGGCCCTTCTGGGGCCACACACCACTTGGAGTGGTCCTCTGAGGTGCTGAACGTGGGCCCAGCGGGTCCAGGGAAGGCTACCTGAGTCACATCCAGCACTTGCTGGGCCCCGGAGCAGTTGGAGGGCAGGATGCCAGGAGAGTGTTGCCAGAACTGGACCTGCAGATTGCTTCCAAGGGCTTCTGCCAACCAGCCGGAGTATAGGTCTGCAGAGGATGGAAAGCGGGCATGGGCAGGGTCAGGGTCAGGGTCAGTGCTAGGTGATCCCTAGGCTACTGGCCCTCTCTGAGCTCAGTTTCCTTGGTTGTCAATTCCTGGCTAACAGCTCTTACTAAACACTACATTCATTACTTCATTCACAACAACCCTGTACAGTAGATATTAATACCCCCATTTTCCCAGATGGGTAAAATGAGAGTCCAGGTAAATGATGTGCCTACCACACCAACCAGAAACCAATGGCTGAGCCCAGGCCTGTGGGTTGTGTACCTCTCATGTGTTTATGGCTCCCAAAGAGTTCTAGTTCCCACCTCCAACTTGCTCTCAGCCATTGACACACCCGGCACCACCTCTGCAGAGAAAGCATTCTTCAACCCACACCCTCAGGGCTCACCATCTCCAAATTTCCCAAATTTGGCAAAGCTCTGGAAGGTGGCCCCGGCCTTTGATGTGAGTGTCACGCTGCTGTTCCAGGGTCTGTTGAGAACATGGTGGCCCTTGACCACCTCCTCCAGGACAGGTAACTTCTTGAGGAAGAGCCCTTCCAGCTGGTGGGCATACACATTGGGGTAGGTGTAGCTCAGCTGTCTGCCTGGAAGGCAAGGGGAGGAGAAAACTAGGGACCGTTCCACATCCTGGTCTGGAAACCAGGGAATCACCCTGCTTCCTTGTCCCCACTCACCAATCGTTGAGAACTGGTCGAACGGAAAAGACACGCAGAGGAGGGTCTGCCCATATCTGTGGGCTTTAGGAGGCCAGCTGTATGCAGCGGGTAGAGGGAATCCTGGAACGCTGTGGATCAGCCAGAAGCCCTCGTCTTTGTCCAGAAGCAGCGCACCTGAACCAAAAGACAGGCTCAGGGGGAGCTGCTCAAGGCATCCCAACAAGCACGTGTGCAGCCAGGAACGTCCTGGGTTTGCAGGGAGCGCGGAGAGGGTGTGGGCAGTCTCTGGACCGCTGCTGAACTCTTTCCGCAGCCCACTGTTGTCACAGTCCAGAGCGAGGCAGCATTTACCTGAGATAACCTGTTACCCTGCCCCTGTGTCCTAAAGGAGCCCCCTCCCGCCCCTGCAGGTCAGGAGTCAGCTGGGGGAAATGCATAAGGAAGCCAGAGCCCTTCTCCAGCCCCCAGTCTGGCCTCACCCTTCGTGTGCCCGCGGCTGGAAGAGTTCTGAGTCCCGTAGTTATTAGGTGGCTGGTCATTGTAAAGTAGGAAGGCAAGCTGGGGGAGATGGATGGGGCGACATGAAGTTTTCCCCCAGGCCGGGCCCCCGGAGTCCCACCTGGGTTCTGCCGGCACCCCCCTCTCCCCCTTCACCTGGCTGGTGTTCCGGTACAGCGGCAGCAAGCTGCGGCCTACGGCGCCCTTCAGGTTGTCCATGGACCCCGTACCGTCGCGCCAGCCCCCTGAGCCCGCATCCAAGTACTTGTACTTGTTACTGGCCGGCAGCTTGTAGACGACGAACCTGGAGGTTGGGAAATGGACAGAAACGGAGGAAGGGGAAGAGAACAAGCCCCCGGCTTCACCCGGGTGCAGCCATCCGCAGTCCGGCCCGGGGGGCACGGTCGGGGCCCCGCACTCACCAGTCCACGGGCTGCCCCGAGTCCCCGTAGCAGGTCAGGGTCCCTGCTGGGACCCAGAGCAGCGCGCCCAGGAGCAGCAGGCTCAGCGTGGCCATGGGGCTGGAGTCGGGGAGTCTGTGTTGGGACCCCGAGGCGCCGGATCACGAGTTGGACCAGGCCGGGTCCTTGGTGACTTTCATTTCCCCAAACCCTCCAGAGAACCCAAGGCGGAACCTCTCGGGGTGAAACCCCACCCCTGAGATGAGAAGCAGAGATTTGAAGAGGCAGGCCCTGTCCCTGGGGGCGGGGCTTCCTTTTGGGCCGTCACTCCCCTAAGATCCGGTCCTCATTCATCTAGCCTACGGTCGCCTCCTATTTCCATTGGATGCGCCCCTGATAGGCTCCACCCCCTGACGGCTCAGACCACGCCCTTTGACGGCCCAGTGGTTTCGCGTGTCCCGGCCCGACTCTACTTCTGGCCAATCACCGCTCACGTTCTTCCGCTAGGCCTCGCCTCTGTCTCTTTTGATTCTTGTTTATCTCAATCCACTCTCCCGCCAGACCCTGTTCCTCCCTCGGCTTATGGGTGAGACACAAATTTATTTATTTTTTCCTTTCCAGCTTTACAGCCTGAGGTACAACTCTTGGGACTTTTGATCTCTTAAGGAGAGTTTGTGCCTGGACGGTGTGGCTCAGTGGTTGAGCATCAACCTATGAACCAGGAGGTCACAGGTTCGATTCCTGGTCAGGGCACATGCCCGGGTTGCGGGCTCAATCCCCAGTAAGGGGGCGGGCAGGAGGCAACCGATCCATGGTTCTCTCTTATCATGGATGTTTCTATCTCTCCCTCTCCCTTCCTCTCTGAAATCAATAAAAAAATATTTTTATTTAAAAAAGGGGAGTTTGTGCTCCTTGTCCTCTCCCCTGTCGTTCTGCATATTTTCTTGAGCTAGCCAAGGGGTCACTGGATCATGGCATGGTGAAGGGTGCTGTGTTCTGGGGCCGGACTGGGGCCTCTTAAAGGGAGATGGTCCCTGTAAATGTCCCTGGGGTTCAAGGCAGGAGGCAAGGAGGATGTAGCCTGATCTTGGGGTGGGGGAAAAAGGGAGGCCAGGCCTGCAGGACCCTGAGGGGTATGGCTGAGGTTAGGAGGTGAGTGTGAGAGTATGCCCCCCAAATCACCGCTGGGGTTACATCTTCCTCCCATCTTCCAGCACCCAAAACTCACAAATCCAGGCCACAGCTGAAGCTTTATCTAGGAAGAGCATTGGTACAGGACCCATAACCATTCACAACAGATGCCAGCCACTATGCGGAGCTGGGACGTTACAGCGTGAAGACCCCTTCTAGAACCAGAGTCTCTGAGAAGCCTCACTCCATAACCCCTTCCGCTGTCCAAGGCCGCCTGTGAGCTGGTCTGAGGGTCCAGCTCTCCAAGGGTCTGTCTCAAGTGTTTGAGTGTCCATCTGAGTCCATTTATTTGGAAGCCTGTCTCGTTGGGTCTACGTGACCCTGGGAAGTCTCTGTGTGGCTCCCTGTGGCTCAGGACATGTGGGAGCTCCCCCAGGTCTGCCTATGGGCCAGTCCTTGTTCTTCCTGGGGATCTGTGGGTCGAGAGTCCGGGCCAGGGTCCATCCGAGGGAAACCGCCCTGCGTGGATCTGATCCTGTTCCATCCCCAGACCCCAGGAAGGTCCAAGTGCCGGGGGTGGTGGTGGTGGTGGCTCAAATGTGACGCTTCATGTGCAAGGCCAGGTGATCCGAGCGAGAAAAAGCCCGAGGGCAGAGCTGGCAGCGGAAGGGGCGCTGTCCCGTATGTTTCCTGTAGTGGCGGGTCAGCTCGTCTGAGCGCGCGAACCGCCAGCCGCAGCCGTCCCACGTGCAGGCGTATGGCTTCTCCCCTGGAAGGCGAGGAGACCATGAGTGCCATTGTCTGCCCCACTCCTCCCTCAGGTCCGCCACTGCATCCGGCCACACTCCTTTGCTCAGCCTTGACCAGGACTAGGGTGAGGAGAGCGAGGCGCTTAGGGTGCAAAATTTAAGGAGACACTCACTCTGGCCCTCTGCGACCCTGACACTTCTTGTTCAGAACCTGCATCTGGCGCCAAGCCTGTTTTCATTTCCTGGGCCCAAGTCATATCTCCTGCACCACTGGCCCATTTCCTGGGCCCTGTTAACCTCCCCCTGTGTCCTAAAGTCATCCTACCCTCATCCTTTGGCCTGTCCCCTATGGTCCAGACCTCTCCTTGCTTCAGGGGCCCCTCCAGCTGCTGCCCAACCCTGCCCCTGGCCTTGAGCCTTAGAATCCCCTGGTGTTCCAGGCCCTGTCTACGGTGATTAGGCTCCCCCCTCGCCTCACTACACCTGGCCCCACCATCTATGCAGACCCCTAAAGCAGCGGTTTTCAACCAGTGTGAAATACCTATTTAGTCAGGGGCACTGACTCCTTTACGCTTAGGTTGTAAAATAAAATGACAACAGCTAACAAAACAATAGTCACCCATTGTGAGTGCCCTGTCCTGAACCATAAATATTTAGGTCATATAATAGAGTTGTATCTTATTGGTCAAGTCGCATAAGAAGGTTACATCTGATTGGTTAATTCTTGGTACCAGAAATCCTTATATGTAAGCATAGGCATCTGATTTTTTTAAAAAGTCACTTTGGAGCAAAAAAGGGTAGGTAATTACTGTTGTGTTTTTTTTTTGTAAATCAGTCATTTTACCTATTTTTTGTCAGATCGACAAAAAAATATAACTTTTTTTTTTTTGGTGTGCCGCAGAATTTTAGTAATTAGTTTATGTGTGCCAGGAGATGAAAAAGTTTGAAAATCGCTGGCCTAAAGCATAGGTCTCACTCTTCCTCCTCCCCACCTTTATTCCACAGCCTCGCTCCGAGACCCGCTTCTCCTGGGCCCACCCTCCTCTGTTTTCCAGCTATTTCTCCGTATCTTCCTGGAACCACTCTGCATCTGAGCACATGAAGCGGACTCTGCCCTGTATCTCCCCCTGAGCTCCAACCAGGGACCCTACAGTCTGGCCCGCCGCCATGCAAACAACCTACTCTCTATACTCCTGGCTCCGTCCCCTGAGCCCCTGACTCCGCTCCCTGCTTGCCACAAACCTGAACCCTGCGTCTTTGGCCAGGCCCCTGGCTAGCCAAACTTGGCCCCTCCCCGAAGTCCCTCCTCCAGCCCCGCCCCCTACTCCACTTGCTAGGCTTTCTGCTCCTCAGCTGGGGCCCAGGTCTCTCTCTTTAAAAAGTATATATATATTTGAGGGAGAGAGATAAAAACATCAATGATGAGAGAGAATCATTGATCGGCTGCCTCCTGCACGCCCCCTACCGGGGATCGAGCCCGAAGCCCGGGCATGTGCCCTTGACCGGAATCGAACCCGGGACCCTTCAGTCCGCAGGCCGACGCTCTATCCGCTGAGCCAAACCGGCCAGGCCGAGGCCCAGATCGTACCCGTCAGTTCCCTGAAACGTAGCTCAGATTTTCCAGGCGCTCTCTCTGCCTCCACCCGCCTCCCACCCCGCTACTTGGCCCCTAGCCCTGCTGCTGAGGGTCCCGGTCCGCTTCCAGCTGCCTCTGTCGCGTTCCTCGCCCGGAGACCCCGCTTAGCCCCTCCTGTCATTACGGACCCGCCCCTGGCTCCTCGCC